TTGTAGCATGAGTATAATATTCCTCAAGAGCTGTGATGGTGAAATGAAGAAAAAGTCTATAGAGGGCCAGGGCTGTTTCTCATGAAGCCTATTGCCCAAGAGTCAGGGTTAGGATCAGCTGGTTAGCTTGGACCAGTACATGTGACCCCTTCCACCCACCCGAACAGGGTTTTGGGTGGTGAGGGAAACCAAAGACTTGGAAGAGAAGGTGGTTCTTTCCCTCCAACTTACAGTCTATGGGGAGAAGAACAAGTCGTGTTTGTGAAGCAACCCAATCACAAGTCCAGTGTTACAAGCTCAGATTCGATAAAGATGCTGTGAGGGAGAGAGTCAGCAAAGAGTTGGGCCTCTGTTTCAGCAGGGAAGCCTAGTGCAGGATCCTTTTGAGAGTAGATTTAGTGGCCAGTCTGAGGCAGGGCTGAGCTCAGGCCATGAGGTTGGTGAGCTTGACCCTGGTAGGCAGCCATCATCAATGTGCCTTGGAGCTGCTTCAGAAGCACCTGAGGAGAGAAGCTGCCAGCCCATCTTCCCTTTTGGAGGAATGAGTCTGGGGAATTTGGTCCCTCCCTTTCAAAGTCGCCCGCATCAGTCCCTTCTCAGGCTCTCCCAGAAAATAGCATCAAGTCACTCAGTCAGTAAGCACTGCTTCTCATTCCTTCTTTGGGGAATTTCCAGAATTACTCAAGTCAAAGGCTTTGAGGATGTCTCGGCGCAGTGAGCGCCTGCGCCTCCGTTACCAGGCACTTGGTGATGGAGGCAACAGCAGCAGCAGCAGAAGCAGCAGCAGCAGTGGAGGGAATTCCCAGGTGGCTGAGCAGCACACCAACCGGAGGGAGGGTCCCCTCAGGTAAGAGGAGCCAGAGGAGACTCAGCTGCCTTCTCCATCACAACTCCCCAGGGCAGCCAAGGGCCTTGGCTGCTGCCATGTGCACACTTCTTTCCTGCCCCCAATTTTGATAGACACTTCACTCTACTGCTTGCTTTCCCCCCAAACCAGAGAATTTCCTCTCCCCCTGTGGTCCCACCCTTTGGCTGCTGCTGCCTTCTCTTTCTGAGAACAGCAACTGAGGAGGGGCAACTTTGAGCATAGAGAAGGCTGGAAACCCTGAGGCCTGAAGCTGGGCAGGGAACAACCCCTCTCAGCCACAGATCTCTTCTCCCTGGCCGAAGGCCCATGCTTCTTAGGGTGAAGCCAGGTGGGTGAAGGGCCTGTGGGTGAGGAGACATTTTCAGCTGATTCTTGGCTCCCCTGATACCTCATCCTGGTGGTTTCATGTGGAAAGAGCTCCCCGCCCCTCCCCAGCCCATGGTAGCTATGGCTTGCTTGAATCCTGCCTCACACGTGATAAATTATTCATCCCTTTAAGGAAAAGAACAGCGAAAGAGGGCTTTGGCTATCATTACTTTTCATCCTTGAAGTCTCCAGCAAAGTCTCATTCCCCTGCAGGCCTTGCCCCTTCCATTTCCTTCTCACCTGTCCTCTTTTTCACCCTCTTCTCTTTGCTCTTCATGCTTGCTGTCCCCCAGGACTCTGAGGAGGAAGTCCAGTAGGGTCAAAGGCTTCTCACCAGGCCTCTCACCAGCCCCTCATCTGGCCCTGTACACCTGTAACACCCCTGAATCCTCCTCAGGGTACTTCTCTGAGGATGACTCTGCAGGTAGGCATCACTTCTTCTGCCCTGGAGGCCCATTCCCCAGGCACTGCCCCACTTCCTTCAAAGGGTGCCCCATAGCTGGGGGTGGAGCAAGTATCTCTCAGACAAGAGGAAGAGAGAACTCAGCAGTCTGGCTCCAGTTGGGGGATTGAAGGGTGGAGGGGGGGCTCAGGCCTCAGACATGGTTGTCTCTCCTTCTGGGTGGATGCTCATTTCTTCCCTTCCCTGCAGGGCACTCCGTTATCCACCAGCCTGGCTCTGCATCCACCTCCAATAATGGTGCCTCCCAAGTTGGCATCTTTAACTGGATGGCAATATACATTTCAGGTGGGTTGTACCGGGGGGTGGCCACAGTGCCCAGGGGAGTGGTGCTTCGCTGTACCGAGAAGAGTTTCTTCATGCCTATGCAGGGCCAAGCTGGGCCAGGGTGGAGTAACTTGAGGACTCTATGGGGAGATGGGCTTATTATGGAAGGATCCCCAAGCACAGCTGAAGAGCTCTGGGAGGATGGAAGAGCAGAATAGCCAGAAGCAGCTGCAGAGTTGGCATGCTGGGAGACGACTAGATCTGGGAAAGGATGGGCTGGCAGGGGCACGCCTTTGAATCCCTCTGCTGGAACCTTTACAGGTTGGCTCTTTGCAGCATTCCAGTGGTGCCTGGGAAACGCCTGGCACTGCCTGACCACAGCTGCCTCCCTCCAGGATTTCTTTCTGTTAATCAGGTCAGTGAGGCCTCCCTGGGGCCTGTCACAATCTAAGATCCACTGCTCCAAGGGACTCCACAATCCTCCAGGTCAATTTCCCCTTAGGCTTTGCCCTGTTCCTTTTCAGCTTTTGGAGACTTTTACTAAATGAATCTTATGATAGACTCAGGTCAGGGCCAGGAGTGTGCTGGGACCAGCTGCAACCTGCTCCTGAGAGTCAGCTCCCAATTAGGGCTTCGTTGAGTGTCTCCACTGAAGAAGATGATGGGAGAAAAGGGTTGTGTGTGCCTTGCCCTCCTCCAGAGCTGGTTGTTGAACATTTAGCACCACACGCCTGCCCCCATTCCTCTTGCATCTTCAGGGAAGTGGGTTGGCTCTGACTGCAAGTGGGACTCTGTTCTTGAGTATCTTTTAGGAGCTCTCCCCTCAATAGTTCCTGCCTCTGATCACAACTGAGTCTGGTGAGTTCACTTCTGCTAGTCTGAGGGTCCTGAGTTTGCAGGGACACTCCCTCCTTTGGGGTTCCAATCCAGAATTTTCTGCCCAGTCTTCCAGGTCTCCAGGCCATGCTTGCAGTTTCTCTGTGGAGGAGCATGGGCAGGTCTCCAGGCTGCCTCCAGGGCTGAATCCAGGAGCCTCTAGAGCAGGGGTGGGGAACCTGAGGCCCCAGGCCACATGTGGCCTTCTAGGTGCTTCGGTGTGACTTTTGAACTGAGTCCAAGTATGACAGAATCAATCCTTTGCGGAAGGGGATTGATTGTGTGAACTCTGGCCACAGTGGAGGACCTAGTGGACCACATGTGTCCTTGAGGCTGGCAGGTGTCCCAGGCCTGCCCTGGATTCTTGCGACCCTAGGCTGGGCCAATGGTGACCAGCCAGCCTCAGCAGGGGTCCCTCCTGCAGCTCTTCCGAGTCCAAATGGACAAGCAATGTAAGGACTTAGACAAGAGAAGACTGCCTAATTCATGAGCAGCACATTAATGTAGTTCTGATGGAGGCCTGATAGGGAAACACCTTCCACTGCACCTGTCAAAGGGCAGCATGTCCCTTTGCATAACAACATGAGCGCCTTTTGGAAAAGCCAAGTTTTCTCCTTCTACTTTACCCCAAGGGTTGTCCATACAAGCCCAGTTCTCCACTTCCTGGGTACCCAGTGGCAGGGAGTGGAGGTGGGAGGGGGAAGAGTGGGCACACCCTTTTGGTTGTTCCATTTGCCACTTAGGGAGGGTCTGCCAGCAGCCAGGGGTGGTGAAGGGCAAATGCTAACATCTCCTCCTTCATTCCCATGAAATGCAGGAGCTTTTTCACTCGGAAGAAGTTGCTCCTCTTTGTCTTGGGGATGCTGTTCTTTGTGGCTTCGCTGGCTTATGGTGAGCCTTGTGGAGTGCCCAGGTCGGCCACTCCAGATGGGGGCGAAGGACAAGGGTTTGGGGACAGGGCCTTCAAAGTTTGGAAGGGAGATCGTTGAAGGGGAGCCTTTAGGGAGCCAAAGGGACAAAAGCCCTGGGAAAAGGGACCCAGGCCACATATGGGCAAGCTGTCCTGCCTCAAATGTCAGAGTTCTGTCCTGTCTCTCCTTCTCCTCTCCATCTAATCCAACAAACCTTTATTGTGTAGCTTGTGTATGCTGGCCTCAGAGCCTCATGCTGCAAGGTCAGGGTGGCTGTGCCACCCACCTTGAGCATGTCAGGGGCATGGAGGTAATTTATCTGTGCCTTCAGTGGTCCCTGACCCGGCACTTGAGGGTGAGGGATTGAGAGAGGCGCTGAATCAGGAAGGAATCTATTATCTGAGGAAGACACACAGCCGATGCCAGGTCTGGAGGGCTTTGCCCCTTCTCATTGGTGAGAACACACAGGCCAATAGAAACAGGCATGATCCCAGAAGGGCTGGGCTCTTGGTCGGGAGACATGACATCACTCAGTCCATACTGTGAGATCAAGTCCAGCTCAGGAATGATGATACCACATGCAGATGGTCACCAGCGGCTGTCTGCAGTCAGCCTCTCTACAGAGAGCGTTCTGGTCCTCATTCAAACGGGACAGGGCATTGTGTTGACCAGACTTGGGACCAGAAAGCAGCCCTTGTGGCTTCAGTCTCCATGTCCTCTCCCAGCTGAATCTCATCCCTCATTGTTGCCATCATCCAAAAGTATTTAATGACTTCTTAGAGGATCCTGAGAGAGGGATCCCTTTCCTGAAGGCTCTTGGGATGGAAGTGGCTCTAGCCATAGCCTTCCAGATCATGGGGCCCCTAGCATATCTGCCTTCCTTAGGCTGGGATCCTAGCTCACATCGACGTGACACTGCCATACTCAGGCTGGATGGAGGTCCTCACCCTAGACTTCTTGCCCTTCTGACACCTCAGCCTCTGTCTCAATGAGCCTTTTCTCCCGTGTGCTAGGTGCTTGGTGTTTCTACCCCTATGGACTACAGACCTTCCACCCTGCTATGCTCTCCTGGTGGACAGCCCGTGGTAGCAGCAGGAGAGAGGACAGGTGGGAACCAGCACAGTCCCCCTCATATTTCCAGGTGAGCTTACCTGGTCTGTGCTGGCTCCTTCTGGCGCCTGCAGCTCAGTGAAGCACAGTTGGGTCTGCAGTTTCTTTTTAGCAGAGGTTTTTTTGATCTTCCAGGGCTTACATGCCCAGCTTTCCTCACTTCCCCAGGGTCTATGTTCCTTTGGCTGGGGCGAGGCATCCTCCCAAGGCAAAAAACCCCACTACTTCCTGATTCTTGTTTAAGCTGCTTGCCTTTTGTTGTTCAAGTTACCCCTAGCCTGGAGGTGTTTACTCTTCTCACCTAACCCTGTCCTGGGACTTTTCTGTTTATCTTCTGGAATTGTCCCAGAAAGACCCCTGTTGTGCCCCTATGAGTCTTTGTTTTTGCTCCTACTTTGTTGACCCTAAGGTACTATTTTCTCAGGTCATGGCCAGCAGAGGTGGCAATTGGCATCCTCTTCAGCAGGTGTCCAATTATAACTTTGTCAACTACTGGTGGAAGGGAAGAGGGCCTACCTGAGGAGCTAGGCCCAAGGCCCCTGCATGAGAGACCCCTCCTACTCATTTGGCATTATGATAGTGATAGGACTCTCTCCCACCAGAAAACATCCTGGTTATTGTTCAGAAAGCCAGCTTTGGGAGTTGTTTTGCTCCAGCTCCCTGACTCAGGGTATGATGGTTTCCAATTCACGCCAGAACCAAAAATAGTACTCTAAAATTCCTAGAGAAAGAACCGATCTAAACTTCTAACTAAAAGAACTAGAAAGAACTTCTAACTAAGAAGTAGTTAGAGAGTAATTTTACACACACACACACACACTCACATACACATAAATGTATAACTATTTTGTCTAATGGCAGCCATCTGTAGGGTGGGGGAAAGGGAAGAAAAAAAGGACAAACATTACAATATAACTTTATTATATATTTCAGTGGCATAGCAAGTTGTACATAATAGATTTGCAGTTTCATATGCAATCATATTTTTTTAAATTTCAATTTGTTGGGAAAATTCTTGTTTTATTCCATAAATTAAAAATGAACTTTAACAAAAAATCTTCAAAGGAAGTAAGGATCTTCTCTGAATGCAGTGTGCTCAGCTGTTCCATAGCCCTACCCTCCTAGGAAAGGACGTGAATGGTCCCCTGAGTTCTGTTTCTTGGGCACAAAAGAGATTGGCTAATTTTACCCCATGCAGCAATTATACTCCATCTCTACATATCCCTGAGCCCCATAAAAATTCCAGCCATAGCCATTAGAGTCAGACATTCTTAAGAAGACCAGCTCAGCCAAAGAGTACATCCACATAAAGGTGCCCAGTGGATAGATCACTAGATCTGGAATCAGGAAGGTCTGAGCTCCAATCCGGCTTCAGACACTTCACTTCCTGTGTGACCTTGGGTAAGTCATTTAACTTCTTTCTGCCTCAGTTTCCTCATTTATAAAATGGGTATAGTACGATCCAATGAAATCCTATTTGTAAAGTGCTTTGCAATCCTTAAAGTGCAATCAATATCAATGCTATTATTATGTCAGATCACACAATCACTCACATTTTTATGGCACTTTAACCAAGTTTCACCAAGTAATGTCTTCCTGAGAATATTTGATCTTTTGGTGGAAGTTTAGATAATTCTTTGGACTGCACTGCCTTGTTTGCATGTTTCAATGGCAAGAGAAACAGCAGGAGGTCCTGTGAGAGTGCTGACTCTCTTACTAGCAGGTAGAAAATTATGAGGTTTTTTGTTTCTTTGGACATTAATTTCCTCATCTTTGAAACAAGGGGTTTGGAACAGATTTGTCCTAATATCCCTTCTAGCTTTGGAACTTAGGAGTCTCTTTTTACATTCTGGTTCAGAATGAAGCTAAAGGAAGCTGAATGTCCCAAAGGATTGTGGGATAGAGAGAGACCTCATTCACCATGTGCTCTAGGTAGTTCCCAAAGTATAGAACTAAATGTTAATTGCAACCTGGGGACCAGAGAAGTCATGGGAAGGTGCTCTCTACCTGTATGGGCTAGTTGTGTCAGACATATTGAGAACACACAGATCCCTTCAGATGTGCTATGGTTCTGGGGTTATACCTTTTCATCTATTGGATCCAGTCAGTCAGCCAAGTGTCAATAAGCATTTATTAGGCATTTTGTGCTGGGCACTGTCTTAAGTGGTAAGGATGCACCGAAAGACACAAACTCAGACTTTACTCAGCCAGCTCACGTTCTACAGGTGGAACATGAAAATAACTCTGTAAGTGCAAGATATATCCAGTACAAATGGACAGTAATACCAGATGGAAAGTAGAGGGAGGGAGGAAGGGTGGGAAAGTTCTACAGAAGGTGGGGTTTGAACTGTTTTGAAAGAATTCAGAGAAATCAGGAGGCAGAGGTGAGGAGGGTGAGCATTTCAGGTAGAGGAGATGGCTACATCAATGATATGACCATCGCTGTGTGTAGCTGAGGTAGAGGAATATATCATGAGAATTCAGTAGACTGAGAAACTCTTGAGTTGGGGGACTTGAAGGAGTATCAATATGTATGTTGACGTCCCCTAGTACATGGACAAGAATAGGGATAGAAAGACCAGGAGCCATGTACTGGACTTATTGAAGCACCAAACAGAATGTCTTCAGGGTTGGTAATGAACAACTCGCAGAACCTCAGTGCAGTGATAAATTTTTATTCAATGAACTCTAAGGAGAAGAGGTTATTGAGTGATGGTGGTAGAGAAAGAGTCTAGAAGTGGCAATGGGGAGCAAGGAGTATTACACCTACTCTACCATGACCATTGAATCAGGGGCTGTGAATGAATGTGACAAGAAAGGGAGTCCAGTGATGCAGTATCCTTAAGAGAAAGCCAGGTTCAGTGAGGGCCAGAAGTTGGAGGGAATGAAAAAAGGAACACTTTTAAGATGAAAGCAAGTTTATTATCTATGGAACAAGCATTTCAGAGAGCACAGTGGAAGGGATGGGTATCTTTAAAAGAGTGGGAGATGGAGGAGTTTGCATCAAGGAATATTAGAATTAGGGAGTGGTCACTGGAGGATGCAGAAAGGGGTTTGAACAATGGCAACTAAGCTTTCCAAATCCCTGGAATGGGGAGATCCTGATGGGGTGGGAATATGCTCACCATGGAGGAATGAATTCAGACAGAGTATCAGTGCTGGAAAGAGATATTTTGAGAGGAGCCTTTGCTTAGAATGTTCAGGGTGTTCTTCAAGATCTCACCTTGTGGCAGGTGGTGGATGATGCCTTTCCTGATGCTGAAAACTGTTAGTGTCATTCACCCTTACAGATAACTACTTCGTATTTATTTACATTTGTTGTCCTTATGCTTATTCTACAAATCAATAGATGTATATATACTTATTATAGCTCCCAGTGAATATGAGCTCTTTTGGAACAGGGAAGATTTCATTATAGTTGTATTTCCAGTGCCTAGCAAAGTGCCAAGCCTATAGCAAGCCTGGAGAAATATTATTGATTGATTGATTGATATGATGAGGTAGTCTCTGACTTTCTTTGAGAAGTCCCCAATGTCATCCTTATATATTACAAATTCTTCAGAATTCATATTTCTTTTTAACCCAGAAACCTCTCCTTCCCACTCTGCTCAACCCCAGTTGGTCATTGGCCATTGGCCAACTCCAATCTTCACCTTACCAAGTCTCTTGTGAATCTCAGCAATGAGCCCACGGAACAGATATTGAAAGTAGAAGAAAGCAGAAGAGAAAAGGGAAATATGGTGGCACATGTCAGACTCCTTTGAGTGTTTTCTGGGCAGGTGGTGGCTGAAATAGATTGGTTTTTAGACAAATAAATGAAAGTCTGGGTGCAGTGGTCAAAGGAGTTAATATCTAAAGTACTGTTCTCAACCAGATAGGGCTGTTATTTACAAGGCCCTCTGGAATGTAGCCAAGAGAGGAGGTGTGGGTATTCAGATTCACTTCAAGAGGGTCACTTAGTCATATCTATAGAGGGGATGGGAAAAGTTGAGTGGCAGCAATCCAGGGACATTCTTGGAAGTGGTGGCTGAGATGGATTTCTTGAGGTATTGTTTGGAGAAGGAGTTTCTGGCTCAAGGCAGGTAAAATGTTTCTTAAGCACTTCCAATATGGCAAGCATGGTGCTAAGCACTAAGAATACCAGTACAACAGAAGAAGATGATTCCTACTTTCGAGGAGCTTCCATTCTAATAGGGAAGAAAAAAAGCACCAAAAGGATGTGGCAAAGATGGGCAGGGAAGGATGGCACTCACTGGGGCAAGAGTGAGGAGGTGGAGCAGTCCAGAGCATAACTTGAGTTGGGAGGAAAGCAAGACACATAGCTGGGATCCCTCCTGAAATAGTTATTCTGGTCAGAGAATGAAGACAGTAGAGAAGAAGAAAGAGGCAGTGGGGGTCCTGAAGATAATACCTCAAGTTAGAGCCAGAGAGAGTTGCAATTAACAGCAATACCTGATTTTGAGGCAAGGAAGGGTCAGAAATGACTTTAGGCCAATTCCTGCCTTGGTAGGAGGAGAAGGAAATGTATATTCATTTTGAGCCTCCCTGAAGGCCCAGAAGTCTGTCTCCAGGGAGTTCACATCAGGGGTGACATCTCATAAATACACACCAGGCTGGACCTAAAACATTCTGGACAAGGAGAACCAGAAACTTCTTCTTGGCCAAGAAAAACAAAAGAATGCTTTAGGGGATTGAAAGAAACTGACTCTGCCTCAGCCCAGTTCCTGGGGTCCTGGAAAATGAGCAAAATGCTCCAGTAAAGTGACAGGGTAATTAAACCTGCAAAAATGATTAACAGTCCTATGCAGTACTGACAAAATCCAAGAAGAAAAGAGAAGAGACATTGCATTTAAAAAGTACAAAATGCTGAAATATCTGGGTGTTAAACTACCAAGATATATGTAAAATTCATACAAATGAAGCATGACATATTCTTTCCACGTATAAAGGAACACAAGTAAAGAGATATTCAGTGTGCATGACTGGGTCATGCAATTGTAATAAAAATGAAGAAAATATAGACTTCATGCTATAACAATCAAATTATGAAGGGAATACTTTATAGAACTAGAGAAAACAGAA